CCCTCCCTAAAAAAGCTTCATGGCTCAGAGAGTTTTGTACAGGATGGAAGTTTGAATATACTTTTATTGATTCAGGCACACAGCAAGAGAGAAAATAAGGATAGGATTAGAAATTAAATCTTCAGATTATCACTCAAGAAAAGAAAAAACAGAACAGGAGTTTAATATGGGAAAGTAGTTATAATTTGCACACATGAAACATTTCAGAGGAAGCTTAATATCTTTACACTAGAAAAGAACAGTCTGGTATCAGATGTGGAATAGGTGGACAGAAGTCCCTATCATAAAGCAAATCTGTTCAAAATAATAATCATAGCAACAATAATTACTGAGGTTAATTTAATGTAAAATTAACATATTGAATTAAACACGTAAGGAGCTTTGAAATTAATTTTATTGACAAAGATATATGTATATGAATATATACATATATAGATATATGAAGTAGTATTCTTATCATGCCCTACAACAGTGTTTTCCAAGAGCACTTTATATTCACATTGTATCTTTGCAAGAAAGATGCACTTCATGAAATAAGTACAAGAGTTTTGTAGTTACTCATTTCATCACCTGTAGATTACAGACTCAGTAGGCCAAGCTGCAGAAGAATTGTCAGAAGCTTTACAAAACAATTTCAAAACCTAAAATACCTAAGAATAATTATTCTTAAAATAAATTGAAAAGTAATAGAATTGCTTTTCAAAGTTTGTATGAAAATTAAGGGACATATTTTAAATGTTATATAGCAACTACAGACATAAAAATACAGAGCACAATGTTTATCATATACACTACTCAGGAATTAAAGCACTGTTTTTCTGATTAATTTCAATTATCTACCGTTTCAACTTTAGACAACTTTTGAAGCCTTCTAAGCACATTAGCCAAGAAAAGATCTGCAGTACAGAGAGATATGCAGATCAAAGTTAATTATGATGAGCCATCTAGTTTTGGAAAACCTTCAAGGAGTTATCCAGATAAGCCTGAAAAGTCAGTACACCTGTCTGAACGTACACCAAACTCTTCTTCTGACTACATTATTTGTAACATAGACAGATTTTAATTCCCTGGACAATTCAAGAAGCTCTTCATTTCCTCTTAGTACACATTTCTCATTTTGTCACACCTTCAAAGGTCCTACATTTATTTTAATAAACATAAGACTGTCTTTTTTTGTCAGCTGACCAGCCTTTTCTAAAGTTGGGAACATTCTGTAAGTTGACCCTAATGAAAGACAGTGGTTAGATCAGCAACTGTGGGTAATATTTATGAATCTAGTGATAAAAATGGACAGAATTATCATCCAAGAGGTGAAGTTATGCTCCCTAAAAAAAATGTGGAATATTTTTCCTTTTTTCCCTTTTATTTTCCTTCTCAATACAAACCTTAAATCTCAGCTTAGTCCCTAAACACTTCTTTAAAATGAATCCATTCTAAGTGATGATGCAACATTATCTGCATGGGTTTTCAAATTGGACCAGTAATAGAATACATTTTCAAGGGTTCCTTAACTTGACCTCCTACAAAAATATACAATCATGGCATTTAATAAGAAGTCTTAGCGTACAGTTTTGTACCAATATTATTTGCACACATGAACAATGCATGCAGAACCAGCACCTTTAGAAACCAAGATTTCCACCTCTAAATGTGTATTTCTGTATTATCCAGCAGATTTCAGAAAAAGGAACATTTTCAAGTAAAAATCGTATGTTAAATCACAGCGTTGTGTATCCTAGATATACCTAATAATTGCAGATCTCTGTTACTTAAAGAGCATTAAATAGCACATAATTGTTTGTGTGATCACTTACACTCTTTTGTAGGCAGGAAGGAAACTTAGTTATTATACTCAGATTATTAAATCAATCAGAAAGCTTAAAAAGAAGAATTTGTTACAAAAAAAGACAGATGGGGGGAGAAGCACTTAGCAACCTGGTACTTTGATTTTTTTTCTGCTTAGAGATGGATGCTAACAGGAAATTCAAACTTCATAAACTTCTCAAACAAGGACTCATCTTAGGGCCACAAAGATGATTAAGGGATCGGAGCACCTGACATACGAAGAGAGGCTGAGAGAACTTGGACTGTTCAGCCTGGAAAAGGCTCAGGGGGGATCTTATCAATGTGTATGAATACCTGATGGGGGCGGGGGGAGTAAAGAAGATGGAGCCAGGCTCTTCTGAGTGTTTCCCAATGGACACAAATACAGGAAATTCCATTGAAAAGTAAGAAAAAAGATTTTATTTTGAGAGTAGTCAAACACTGGAACAGGTTGCAAAGAGACCTGGAGTCTCCGTCCTTGAAGATACTCAAACCCCAACTGGACACAGCCCTGAACAACCTGTTCTGTGTCACCCTACTTTGACCAGGGGAGGCTGAACTAGATGATCTCAGCAGTGCCTGCCAAGATCAACTGTTCTGTGGTTCTATAAGTATACAGAAAAAATACGGAGCAAAATGTTCACAAGTGGCAAAAATTTTCTAGTACCAACTAATGTGGTAGCACATAACGACTGTACCTGTGTCATCTATTACAGTTATTGCAGTTCTTTCTTTGTAGGGCTCTTACAGTGGTTTTGGTATTTATTCACAATGTAGATGCACAAATGTGCATTGATTTGAACCCACAAGATCAGATTATAAGGCTATTTTTACACCTGCCTGTCTATAAAATGCTGGAATGACTGTCATATAGTGCTGCTGTCATGATATTCCTTACCTTTGCTGAGCCGTACTCCATGGAACACTATACAGCAGAGCTTGCTGCTAACAGTGCCAGTGTTTGCATTTTTTGTGCTGTTTCAGACTGCACACGACCACAATGGGAAAAAATCATGCTCGCTCCTTCTGTTGTGGTAAGCCATGTAATGTGAAACCAGCTCAAACTTAATAGCGATTTCATTTAAACCTTTCCTCTTTTGCAAGAGACTCACAAAGTATTACCATCCTAGAAGGATTCAATTAATTATAATCTTACATATGCCTATTTTCTTTAATTTTCAATTATTTTCTTCTTTTTTTAATCATCATTTTAAAGATGTCTACATCTGGTTTTGTGGGCTGATACTCTAAGAAATTGGATCTGTGTTTTTAGTACATTATATTTTTATCATTAACTTGTTATGACCAGCTTTAAAGGACTAGAAAGGAATTGGATACTTTAGGCATGAGTTGTGGTTTTAAGCTGCTTTGTTAGAATAAAAAAAAGCACACCCCACCAGAAGATATTATATCAAGAGGCGATCTGCTCTTACATATTAACTGTAACACAAAACCCCAAACGATACTGTTGACAAGGTTTTTTTTCTTGTCTCTCTCTTTTCAGCTTGCTTATTTGTCTATGACTTCTTTCATGTCATCTCCTTTCTACTTTTCACATGCATTTTTTTCTTTGATATTTTCCTGCCTTACTTCCCCCAAATAATTTCCCTTTGCTTCTGCAATTTTTGATCTCTCCCTCATAAACACAAATGCTTCTGCCCTATAGAAACTTTCATTCTTTCCTGACATAGACCCTCTGTATTATTCTCATGTTGCATTTACTCTGTGCCAACTCTATTTCCTTTACTAGATTTTATCTATTAATTCCTCTTGTATAAAATATTTTAATCCTGATTCTTTTTTTTTTTGCTGGTCACACCTGCCTAGATGACCACGGTGAGTCCTACTTGCCTGACACCCTCCCATGCTTGCCTGCACTCTCAGTCTCATCCCTCCTTCCCTCGCTTACTTTATAAGTCTCTCTTACCAACCCGTTGTCTGACTTCTCTTCATCTCTGACATCACTCCTCTTGATCTTTAGCCTTCTGAAAAGCTGTAAATCCCTAATAATAAATACATTTCTGGCTATGTATCTATCTCACTATGTAAAGCGGCTCTTGAGCCCTAAGGCCGAGAAACGTGGCTCCACTTTTGTTCACAGAGGTAAACTCTCTTTGCTTTCCTCCCTCCTCCAGACAAGACACTTGCATCCATACTGCCAACAGTTTCTGGCATGTGGTATTTCCTGAACTGTGTCTTTTTTTGGAAAATGTTAGTCAGTTATGACCAAAACCATGCCAAGGATCATGCTCATACTTAAACAGGAATTTGATCATGGGCATGTACTCAAACATTCACCCATCTACCCAATCTCCAAGAGGCATCAATCTTCCTCTCTATTCAGATCTGTCTAGTTTATTATCTTTCCTTTGCCTTAGAGAAAATCAGTGCTAGAGACTGAGCTGTGCAAACAAGTGGGGAACAACTGGGGAAGAAGTGGAAGCTCAGGTGAGCTTTGCTGAAGCAAGTGGGAGAATTTAACTCATCTGTAACATGACGAGAGAGCATGTGGCACCACCATCAACAGCTTGACCATTGGGTGCCTCCATCTTCAGCTGTCTCTGTTTATCTCCCTGCAACAAAGTCCTTCTTAATTTAACTATGTCTAAGAGCAAGTCGCTGCTAGAAGATGTTACAGTAACTTTCAAAAGAAAACAGTAGTTTGGGAAACAGATTGTTACAGGACTTTACATTAGTATAAAGCCTCAGGAGATGTATCAAAAGTAGAATTTCAGGATGAAAAATTAAAACAGACGTGTGTAGCATGGAGTTATTCTAACTAACCCTGTGTCTTCAGGCAACTATATTCATGACAACATTATCTAATCAAGCAAAGCAGCAAAAAATCAGAAGATACCTGATCTATTAAAAATTAATAGGGGTATTATTGTCTAATGTTAGGTAATTCATGCTTTGAAAGGTTTTTTGTTTATAAAGAAAAAGAACAGGGGAAAAAAATAAAGGATTATTACTTGCTCAGTTATTTGTATTTTAAAGTACTGAGCTGCCACAATTTCCATTACATACAATACATTTATGTAGCAATAATGTTACATTACAGTATCTCCTTTGAGGTACTTGGGTGCTGGTTTCCTAGACTGTTAATTTATTAACAAGTGGGTATAAGCCATGAATCCAAAAGATAGCCCGTGTGAAGGTGTTTCTAGCAATCCTACCTGTTGGCGGGATGATTCCAGGAGACATTAGGCCTGGGACAGAATGTGGCATGATATGAGAATTCTCTGGGGAGGTGACACTTTGAGTCCTCTTAGGAGGCCTTCCAGGTCTAGAACTGAAACAAACAAACAAAAAAATTTTTACAATTAAGCTGTTGTCTTACACATCATTTCAAAGTTGTTTCAAGTGGTAACATGGACTGTAAATAAATTTGTTTCAAGGACGGTTGCTTTTGCAGTTAGATGTAATAGACTTCCATCACTAATTAGATTACATGCTGAATTCATTTTCCTCATTGAAGATCAGCCGCTCTTGATGCATAATTCATAGCCTGCACCTCGTTACCTGCTTCTTCATATTAATATCTATACACAGTTTGAATTGCCTCGTTTGCATATGCTAAAGTTCTGCATGCAGCCTTCAGCACGAAAATTATGCACTAACTTGTAATAATTATTACAGTCAGCCTGCTATTGATTTATGAGACTTTTAAAAACCAAATATGTGTAGTACTTGTAATGAATGATATTTTAAGGTTCTTCAGGAAATTAAAAGGCAATGGCTGCCTAAGGAAATGTTCTGCTTGTTTGATTTAATACTACAGTTAGCTGGGAGGTGGAATGAAAGAGTGATTCAGACCTATAGCACATTTTTCGATGATATGTTTTATTACTTTGCACTGCTAGCCTGATATCTAGATGATAAATGACAATACATATCTAATGTGTGAAAAGGTCTTGCAATTTCTTTATTTTTTGTCATTTAAAAGATAAGTCAAGTTATCATTTAACCCTTATTCTATTTAAAGTGAAAATCTCACTAAGACACCTTACTTTAAATATACTACTTTATGTCAGAAAGGACTCAGAATTATTTGTAAGATATTGTTGAGCAACTGCCATCACAGCAGCTTACATCTGTCCAGCACGGAAAAATAAAGGGTTTCAGGTTTAAGCACTCCTTGTCTGTTAAATGCTCACATACACAACTTTCCATCCCCTGGACTGTGTAAGTAGCATACAAATTAGATACGGATTACAATGAAAATACTTATTACCTACTTACATGCAAATATGTACCTGCTTCATACAATGCATATCCAAAGACTTGCATTCCTTTGTACAGATCATGGCATAGTACTATTGCAATGTCCTATAACTGCTTATTTATTTAGGGGACATTGTGGAATAACTTCATGGAAGAAGGTGATGTGCAGTTCTAATACTGCAGTGTTAACCTATGCTTTGCCAAACATTTGAGGTTCTTCATTTGTTTCAAAACAAGGAAGAAAAGAAAGGTTTTGCTCCTTGGGTCCTCAAACTAACAAAACTCTCATCAAGGATAATGGCATTTTTAGCTATGCTGGGACTGCAGGAGGCAGATAATAAAATACCTCTGGTTTTTGTTCATATTCATTCCCCTTGTGTTTGGAAATACCGTGGGTTTTTTTTTCAACTTCTACAACCTACCTTTAATAAACTAAAAACAATCAAAGTACAGGGCATTTTCTTGGAGCTTAATGACTCAAGGCATTGAGTCATTAACCTTAACTGATCATTAATTCCCAACTTAATGTCCTGAGCTAAGGTCATTATTAAAATTATAAGCTTGATAATTTCTTTGATTGGTTTGGGATTTTTGATTTTCTTTAATACAAACAAAATCATCGTATGTTCACAACTACAAGAAAAACAGTTGTAGAAAAAGAATAGTCTTATTCCAGCTCACAGAACCAAATTAAGTGTCTTCCGTCCTTCTTTGAAATTTTCTTTGTGATTTACAATAAAAATAAACATACCATGAACACACATAAAACTGATAAAAATATTATAGGCAAAAATTATCTGATATAAATGGAGTGTTTCTAATATATTCACCCACCAAAAAAATGCTACCATGTAAGAAAACTTTAATGGCTGAATTTAAATACCTATGACAATGCACTGTTCCCAAATCAGCACTGTGATGTGAGTATGGTAGGGTCTGACAACAGCATAAAAAGCACAAGCAGGGTGCCATGGCATAACAGACAACCTACCAATGACTTCCAAGTTTTTAAAAAACAACAAATTCACTCCTGCAAAGATTCTCTTTGATGAATTAATGGTTACTACTAAATATAGCCATGGTGAAGTTTGAATGCTTTTGTCTTTGATTTTGCAGAATAAAACCACCCCCTTTGAAGACTAAGAAAAGACACCCATGGACCAAATCTGTAAATGAAGGTCAGCAACGAATTATAGGTGAGCGATACTGAAATATCCAAGGCAAAACTCTTCTTTTGGTTGCCTTCTACAATCAAGTTGATTGTGCTACTATTCAAAAGGGCTGTCACACTCGAAGCCATAAATGAGCCCAGTAACCCAACTCTATCCCATGATTTGTCCCAAAATTCACCAAATAAGTGTTTTCATGAAGTCCCAAAATCCCAATTCCAATCCAACTAACAATAAGTAAACCTCTTTTATCCTGATACATTTTTTATGTGACAAAGCACTAACTCCAGTTTACTATAAAAAGGCCTTTATCTATTTAAGAAATGTTTGTCCCTTTTGAGAAGGCAGAAAAAAAAAATAAGAATTATTTCTTAAGGTCTGGAAGATCTGATTTAGTCACAGCAGACTACGCAATACACAAATAAAAGGAGTAAATCTCTAATTGGTTAAAATAAGCAAACACTGATTGTCCCCAATAACCGATTGATAATTTTCTTGATTTGTTATTTATATTATGCACTTGTTTCATTAAACAAATTCCTAACTTGAAATACTATCATTTTATAAGATCTGTTTTCAAACTGTAAGAATTGCAAGAATTTTGCATGAATTGGAAAAAACAGTATGTAAAAATTACTTTTAAAATAATAACTTTCATTCTATTTGAAAACTTGCATGTTGTTTTGTAGTTCATTATCATTTTTATAGCTATATGATAAACTCTTAAAAAAAAAACATTAAAGGCATAGCAAATGAGTTTAACTATCATAAACAGACTGATAAAAATAGCTTAATGAATCATTTTGTTGCTATTTTTCCTAAAGTTGTGTATAGTAAAGACCTACTTATTTTTACATTAGGACAAGTTCACTTTCATACCAAGATAAGCCTGCTTCAAAGTATACATGTTCCTATTTTGTATCAAAATCGGTAGATTTGTCTTCAGTACGAAAAGATAACATAATTTAAATAGATGTGAGCTGATTTGTTATGCAAAAGATATATTTAAACACCAGAGAATATAAGTTATTCTTCTATTCAATGTCACTGAGATACAAATATCATCATTTTAAAACTGTTGATAATGCTCTTTTTACTCATATTTAGATTTTATATATAAGTTTTTACAGAGATATAAAAGATATTGTAAGATTTTGTCTTTTATCTGAATAAAATCTTTGGAAGAACAACACTGGTTCTTCTGAAGACACATTTGACTTCTTAAGGTAATGCTAATTATCTCAATGGGTAAACTACTCAAGTTGACCCATTTGGATTTTGAAGATGACTACAGTTTGGATGTTTTAGAGCTAAGATAAACGCGCTGAAGTGCCAAAACCCCAAAAAAGCCAACTCTTACAAATACCTAGGGTCATAGTACGGAGCAGTCAAGAAATCTTTTGGACTCTGCAAGAAGACGCTAGAAGAAACAGACCTACATCTGGAAGTCATAGCTGGTCTTCTTCTCTATTGTTTCATTCTTTGAGGATTAAATTAGAGGGAGGATGAATTAGACAATTTCAACAAAGACTCAAAGGAGCGGCAATGCTTAACTTAAAGAGCTGAGGAAAAGTCAAAGGGAAGTTACCAGTTCCTTGTTTACTCATTAAAAAGGAGACGTAATAGAAACATTGTCACTCTTTCTGCTTTTAGAAATATAGATGTGTAAGTTAGATTTTTTCCTCTCTAAAACTTAAGTTTTCATGTATGAGATATCTTAACATATGTTGAAGAAGAAAATGGAAGCTTCCTACAGGACCACATATAACTTAGTTTTTAAAGTGAAGCACCTAAATACATTTAACTCCCTGAAAACTCATCTGCCTTATATAGGTTTGTGTAAGCTTTGTATCAAAGTTTGTAGACTTCTTGCAGGGTTTAGAAGACATTCCCACAAACAACTGAGATTTATCTTTGAAGACAATCATCACGATTTACAATTACAATACACTATTAAGTGACAGAGGAACTAAAGGCACAGACTGGTGAATCTTCAAATTCTCAAAAAGGGAGGGAAATATTTTCTTCATTTGCATCAGCTAATTAGATATTCAGAACACTTTCCAGAACCACTGAAAATAAATCCACCAGGTTTTGGTCAGATTTGTATTTCACCCCTTAAACTTCCATAAATACTTCAATGAATACTATGGCTCTAGCATTTTCATCTTTGAAGGAAAGGGTGTATGTCTTCTGCACTGTGACTGGCATGAAAGGTACAAAATATGAGAAGCAATTGAGAGTATGTTGTCCTAAAATACAGCAAGTTCTCTGAAGTAGTTCTCTTTTGACCAACATATATTAGTCTTATCTCCTTCCTGTGTTACCAACCTAGACAATGACAGATGGCTGAACTACAGAATAAAAAATGGAAGAATCAGTGCTTGTTATCAACTATAATGTTGTGCTTTGATTATACTTTTAAAGTTTTATACACCTCCAATTTTATTATCGAAGTATGAGCTTGCTCTTAGAAATCACTTTGATAGTGCAAAACAATTAAAAGCAGACGTAATCAGCAGAAGATCTGGTCCTGCACAATCATGTGGAAAGAGGTGAAGAGAAAATAGGTACGGGTTTATCTGCAGGCTTTAAAAGTAAGCGGACTTTTCATTCAGCAATTTTCACTATCTGCCAGAAGACAAGCATGGCTTTAAAATTTAAGGGTCTCATTCTTAAAAGCCTTAGACACATAGACCTCCCACTGATTTCTGTTAGGAGATTGGAGCACCAAGGAAGATACTGGTTCCAGAACAGAGGAAACTCTTCATGAGTAGTACATACCTCGCAGAGTATGTTACTAGCATTTTATATATGACTGATTGCACAGCAAAACATATACTAATAAAAGAAAAAGAGCATGAAACACAGTTGATAATGCTGTGATTTACCCTCTGAT